AATGCTGTAATGAGTATGGTGGTGCAGACATCTCTTTGACGTAGTGATTTTGTTTCCTTCAGATATATACCCAGGGATTGCTGGATGATACGGTAGTTCTATTTTAATTCTTTGAAGAACCTCCATATTGTTTTCCATAGTGGCTGCACCAATTTATGGTCCCATCAACAGTGCACAGGGTTCTTTTTTTTTCCACATCCTTTCCACCGTTTATCTCTTGTCTTTTTGATAATGGCCATTCTAACAAGCACGAGGTGGTGTCTCATGGTGGGTTTGATTTGTATTTTTCCCAGGAATTGCCTTTTCTCCTGAGGCAAGTGTCATCTTTATCCATGACAGTGGAATTCTTTTTCCACAAGTGTTTCAAATTGCTCCACCCTTCTTAAAATAATTTTGGCTTGTGAAAAACATATACCTCTGTTTTCAGTAAAAGATGACTCAAAATTTTATCAGGAACAAGTTGTTAAAATATTTGACATAATGTGAACACCTTCAGAAATTTATTTGACTGCTCTGGAAAGTTTTTAAAGAAAATAATTCATGCACATTAGCAATCAAAAAGAGTGCTTATTCAGGCATTGTTTGTTTAAATAGAAAACTCTGAAGAATTGCTGATACTTCTGACATTTGGATTTGAAGCCCTAAAATAGTTTTAAACCAAACTGTCCTGTCCATGACCATTTAGCTAAACTCCACTGATCAGAATTCTACCGGCTGCTCTACAGCCGACCTTGACTGAGGGCATAAGAAGCCAAAACTCCTGAACAAATCTGGGACTTGCCCAGTATTCGCTACAAGGCTATTCGCATTCCTGGTGTGCCGGGAACTCTTTGAAGGGGATAGACAGGATATTTAATATCCATTTCTTAATTTCTTTGTTTTCTACTTTTATAGCCTGGAATACAGGACCAAGCCAATGGCTTTTGAGTCAGATATATCTGTGTTTGAAACCTCAGTCTTTCCTATCCGTTATCTTTGAGCCTGGGGCAAGATACCTTGCTCCTTTGCATAAATAATTATTTATTGTGATCTCCCATAACAGGAAGTCATGAAAGGGTTCGTTTTGAGAGCGGCTCAGCAGCATGACCATGTTACCAAGGCTCTTATCCTATCACATTGACAATGTCTTTAACATGGTTATGAGATGGCAGCGACAACTCCAAGTACATACCTGTACAGGGCAATGTTCTTAGTAGAAAAAGAATATATCTATCATATGCTTCTATCTTATCAGGGAGGAAAGTCCTGCCCAGGAGCGTCCTTAGTAGACTGCCCTGTCATCTACCCATGGCCAGAAATAGGTCACAGGTCAACCCCTAAACCAATCACAGGCAAAGGAGAATAGGATTCTCAGGATGGACTTAGATCAGTTATGATTCATCCCCGGGGGGAAGAATTCATACTGTCACATTGTGGAGAGCACATAGTCAAATCAGGATCCTTGTAGCAGGGAAAAAGGAGTAGGCTATTGGATTGACACTTGTCAGTCTCTATCACACCATTAATAGATGTCCTTATTCCCTGTTCCAACTATCTCTGAATCAGGCAGTTGGTCATTGGCCCATGGGGGAACAGTAGCAGGCTTGTTTATTTCTTTATATGAGAAGATCTTTAGTTTGCATCATGGAAATTTGGTTTCTCGTAACATAAGTGACTCATTTGTCACCATTAAAAACTTTTAAAAAGTTCTTACTTAGCAATTGACAACAGTATGATCTTTGTTACTCTGTTCGAAATCTAAGAGTAAGAAAGTAAAACTATTTATTTATAAACAAGAACTCTAAGTTAACATCAAATTACGTCTCCCTTCAGAGATGAAAGAGGACAGATCTTGCTCCCTTTGTACTAACATGTCATGGACATTTGTTGCTTCCACTAATACTGTATTACAAGTTCTTCACTGGAAGTGGCTATGTCTTATTTATCTTTGTGTTCCAAGAAGCTGACACATTTTCTAGCTCATAGTGGATGCTCAAAAAATATTGTGTTGAAAATAATCTCAAAACACATGATTTCACGCAGTTACTTGGCAAAGTTATAAGGCCAAGTTTCTTGTCTTGGCGTTAATGAATACTTCTGATTTTCCTATTACCATGCTTCACGTAGTTTAGGAATGACCTTCCAGCTTGTTGTGAATGCACCAAGTGGTGTTGGCAGTGTTACTTATGAATTGGCGTTACTTGGCATATATAGAGTAGACGTGGGATTAGGTTGTCTCCGTAGCACAAAGCCTTCTATCTGGCCAAGCTTCTTGGTGCACATCAGTCCCAGTTGATGCATATCAGTCCCACAGCTGAGGGGTGTCAGTAGCTCTGGGAACTGGGAGCCAGCCCATCAGATCCTAAGCCTCACTAATGCCCATGTCTGAATCAGAGCAAGGCATGAGGGCACAGGATTCTCTGTAACTTTTTTGTCTGGTTTTCATGAGTTGACAATTAACTTTGACAGTCAACTGATATCTCAGTTTGGTAAAGGCAAAACCAATGTATAATGGCATAAATTTCTTGAGAATGAAATACTTAGAGATATCTGAGGAAAGTCTGAGGGAAGTGAGAATCAAGAGTAGCTGCCAATAAGGAACTTGAGAACGTGATTTTTGGGCTAGGTAGGGGGTAGGGGGCAGTTCTATGAGGGCTGGCCACTCTGGCAGGTCCTGGCTAGGCCAGATGGTTCGTTTGCACTTTTCCAGTCATTCTCAGTCTGAGTGGCTCTTACAATCTTCCCTGAATGGAAGGCTCAAGCACGAAACTTCCTAACCTAGGGTTCCTCATGACAGGAGTTGCTGTGGGCTTGAAGCTGACGTTTTTGGAGTAACACTGAGTCACAGTATGGTGGGGAAGATCTCGGGTTCTTGAGTCACATTTTCCCGGTTCAAATTCCAGCTCTGCTACTTGCAAGCTATGCGACCTCAGGCAAATTGCTGCACCTCTCTCAGCTTCCTTGCCTAACCTTCCTCACCTCTGTCATAGGGCTATTACGAAGATTAAATGAGAATACTGTCTGCCACAGAGAAAGCACTATGTAAGTAAGAAAGATTATCATCATTTGCGTCAATCTCAATTCAGACACATGTCAACTTTAGCAATTCTATGTGGGGCCTGTACACCATTGGCATCAACTTAGAAAGTTGTTTGGCTACACAAGATAGGTGTCAAAGTCATCTGTATACAGACAGTTGTGATCACCATTTTGAATCAATATTTTTGTTTTAAATTTTCTTAAGTATCTTTCTTATAATTTCTTCTTTTTTCAAGTTAAAATTTAAGATTTTCAAGGGCTAAGACTTTCTCTATTAATTTCTTCATATACCAAATACAGAAGTGCTACATGTATGTCAAATAAGGACTACTTTCAAAATTAAAGAAATGTATTTAGAGGCAAGCCCTCCACAATGCCAAAACAAATAACCAACCAATTCAGTCATAACTCCTAGTTTCAGGAGAGTTAAATTCTAAGGTTGATTTCATTGTTCTCAGTGTAATAATCTGACTATTTTATCACATAATCTCCTCGCCTAACATCCATATGACTTTGGAATACCTGGACCTCGTCATTGCCTTTCATTTTAAGGAGGATTGCATGCTGAGATTACTAGTGGTTTCACTAAAGACAGAGGTAGTGGCATTGAGCAATTCCTATTTAGAGATTAGGAAGACTCACGAACAGGTCATATGCAGATAGGGTGTTTCTTAACTAATGAAATATGCAGTTGGTATTATTCAAATAACACAAGAGTTGCTGATGACAGGAAACCATACAACGTGGGTAGAGCATTGGTAAAGCATGGTAGTGTGTCCTGGTCTAAAGTATAACATTTTGGTCATTTTAGTTTGGGCATTGAAAAGCCGCATCTACATCACAGCCTCTTCTAGATGACTGAGAATGAATTATCTCAGCAGGGCTGTGGGTTTGGCCCAGGTAGGCAGTACAGCAGAGTTAGTAAAAGGTTGGCTCTGGAATTGGACTCCCTGGGATTAAGCACTGACGCACTTACCTGGTGTGTTACCTCCAGCTTTTTCCTTGACCTCTGTAAGGATCCGCTTTCTTTTCGGGAAAATTGGCGTAAAAATAGTACCTACATCATTAGGTTACTGTGAGCATCAAATTTGAGACTGTATGTAAAGTGCGTAGTGCAGAGATGGTATAGCAAGAACTCACTACCTTTTAGCTATTAGTACTTTTTACTTTCATCTGAAGATACTTCCACCTGACCCTGCATTAATAAATAACAATGATGAAAAGGAGGTTCTTTCTGATTAGTACTAAGTGCTGCTTTATTTGGGGAACTCTAGTTTGTGTTTTGTTAAATAATTTTAACACTAGTGAGACAAGAAGATCCTGGAATTAGATATCCACCCTGTTTCTGTCAGGACCTGTGAGTCAGGTTGAGACTTGCTTCCATCTTCTTGGATTGTTTCCATCTGGGGAGGTCACATTGCCTCACTGCTTTCTTTGATAGGCTAAGGAATTATTGAGAAAACTGTCAACACACAAGAGCAGGTTCCTGGAAGGACAAAGTGACTTGCCTGAGGCCAAGGTTCTGCAGAATTATTAGGACTGTCTTCACAATAGCCACCTTTAATGAGCATCTACTATGTGCTGGCACTGGGTTAAGTATTTTGCACACGTTATCTTGCTTAATCTTCATAAGAACCTTTAGGAATGAAACTTTCATTAACTCATTTTTGTAGAAGGAAACTGAAGTAAAGAGAGGTGTGAAATGTGTTGAGAGCCAGGGTGTGCTCTGAACAAAATCCACTGTTGGATGTAAGTACTTTGTGTCTGAAAATTGTTGTCCCCTTGAGGCCTGTAGTGTGCATATTTTTGGAAGGGAAAAGATTAACTTCTGTTAAACTTTTCCTGTATTTATAGATGATCATTTCCTTTTAGGAACTCATTAGCTGAATTTTTCACAGTCACCTGCCTGTAGAAACTTTGGCTGAACTCAGAGGGCAAGCCGCTGGGCTCAGTTCATGGTAATTTTATTTTTTCATTTTTAGGACACCACGGAGCAGTTACGAGCCACGTCTAGCACTTTGCCTGAGGACCTTATGTACTGAGACTTTGATGCGCCTACTCTGGACGATCTTCCAACCAGGCAAAGCTAAAGACCACACACGTACATACAAATCTGTCATCGATGTTTAGAGAGTTACGTGAAAGTTTCTATTTTGTGACTCACTTGGGAAATGTGGAACAACCTCTTTGTGATATGTTATGTCTGGAGTCAGAAAGGATATAAAGGGAGTCTGGGGTCCTCTCGTCTGCCATCATTGTGGACTAGTGTCTCTGCAATTGTGTGTTTGCTGGGGTGTTAGTGGTGTGCTGTGTGTGCTGTGCTCAAGTAAGTTTGTGAAAGTTTGTAATGCTGAGTTAAACTGGTCTCTTCAGAGCCTTGAGTTGACAAAGTTCATGATGAATTGCCATGAGTTAAGGTAACCCAAATGACTCTAGAATCATTTTTTTATGAAGAATCTTTTGAGACTACTTTCCTGTGGAACACATTTTGAGAAATCCTGGTAAAAATGGTTAAGCGTTAGACTCAGGATAGATCCAAGCTCCACCACTTAGGTGCTGAGTGACTTTGGAAAGTTATTTAAACTCTGTGTCTCCTCTGTTCCTTCATCAGTAAAATTAACATAATAATGACATCTACCTCACACGGTTTTGTAAGTATATTTGCTGTTATCATTCAGTAAATGTAAACTGTTATCTTCATAAAAGAACACTTTGATTTTGAATTTTGGGGTTAATTTCCTCACCTTCATGTAATTTAATCTTATTTCCTCTTGAATGGTCATCTGCTAACCTGTGGGGGAGATCCAAAAACAAAAACAAAACAACAAACCTTGTTGACTGCCTTGCGGTAGGCCATGCCCAAGTGTGCTGTTGACCTAATGATGCAGTTAAAAATAACACTGAACTGCATAGGCAGGAGGGCAGCCAGAAGTTCCTTATTTGGTGAGAGTGGTCCATCCAGCTCCTCTCCCAGAGTACAGGCAGCTCATACAATAAGTCTATAGTTCTGAGTTCTCAGGACCTGGGAATTCCTCATCTAGGGCTCAAATTTTCTTCCATGTGAAGATCTTGTAGGAGGGCTGCCTCTGCACGTAAATGACTGGAACCCTCCTTCTCAGTTGCTCTCCTCTGAAAACCCTGCAAACCAAGATCCAGACATTTCAGTTTTGAGACATCAACTTGGCACTTTGCCAGTGTTTGAAAAAAGAAGACAATGGAAGGATGTCAAACTGTTGGTAAAAATGTCAAAAACTGTGGCCAATGAGATGCTGAGGTGCACATGGTAAATAGATAAACACGACTGCTTTTTCACTCCCATCGCCCCCACGAGGGAATCAGTGGAGTGAGAATCTGCTACTTTCTCCAAAACAATGCTGGAGTTTGGAAGGACAAAAACATTCCCCTTCAAAATCATCTTCTTAACTTGAAAGTCATCTTTCTTCTAGGATGGTCCAAGAAAATCCCCTTTGTTACAGCCAATTTAACGAGCAGCAGTAACAGTAACGAGGAGAGTGAGCACAAGGGGGTGGGATTCTTGTATAAGAAAGGGGATATTCTATTCAAGTAAGACAGAGAGCTCAGCAAATTCTGCTTCCTGATTGTGGAGAAGGGTAAGAGATGGGAAGCCCCCCAAACCCTCGCCCTGGGGACATGTGGATTTAGACAGCGTCGATGAGATTTAGGCAGCATACATGACACCAGTCTGCAACCATTCTAGGCAGGTGGGTGGAATTAATTACCAGGGAATTACCAGGTTTAATTACTCAGGGTGGGATGGAAAAAGAGTGGAAAGACAGCAGCAATAAATTCAAAGGGAAAAGTTGAGAAATATTTTAGGGACAAAACTGTTGACTTTAAGATCGATTAGTTATTAGGGGTGAGAGGGAGTAGTCAAGCATAATTCTATTTTTAATTGACTATATTGTCTGTATTCTAATGTCATCAAAGGAGAAAGAGTAAGTTTGGGGAGGAAATAGTGGGATCAGATTCAAACAATTGCACTCAGGTTGTCAGCTGTCAATTTCCAAAAAAGGCTACCAGAAAAACATGTTGATGAGCAATGCTAAATTTATTAGAGCATTACCCAGTTTTAGTGATATCTAAAAATGCTAACTTAAGGCAGAGTAGCTATAGCATTTCAGGGCCTGGGCTAGGGGATTTTAAAGCAGGGTTTGCAAGGAGGAGAGTGGTAGGGATCAGTGGGCACACTGAGGTAAAGGTCTTGAAGCAAGTCTTGATGAGAAGCTGTTAAGTCTTGATAAATAAGCTGTCTAATTGGCTTACAGTACTAACTTGCAGGAAAGAGTATTTCCTGGATTAAGAAGCTAAATCACTTTGCTCAGCACCAGCATTATTTAACGTAAGGACACAGTCAGTATGTGCAATCCCACCTTGTTTAATTCAGGGATGGGGAGTTCTCAAGATTTTCATGGGACATTCAAGCAGACAAGTCCAACAGGCTGTCTAGAAACTGGGAGTGGAAATGGAAATAATAGCTTTGAGTCATCTCCATAGAACATACTTTCTGATGCAAAGCAGGAACTTAGTAAAATATCAGATAAACCTTCTTCGAGGATGTCCTCTATCCAGGATCATTCAGGAAACTAAAACTTATAAATGTTCCCAAAATGTTAGTGACTTGCCATCCAAAGCCAAGAGGGAAGGAGAAAGTGAACATTTTCTTCTTCCTCCTCTGTTTATTTTCTTCAGGATTTGTCAAGCTAGAAAGTTATATTGCACGTTTTTTAGTGTGGCCTCCAGCCAAGATTGGGGAAGAGAAGAGTGTCTAAATAATTGCTGGATTTTATTCACATTTTTAAAGTTTAAACAAGTTTCCTGAACCTGAGCACTTAAGCCAAATCAACAAAACCAAGGCTGATAATATATTTTAAAAAGGGAGATTGGATATAGTTTCCCTTATATGGTAGCTACATCCCGTCAAGGTTCTGTCCCTAAATTTTAGCCTTTGCTTTGTTATCAGGACAATTAAATGCGTAAAATATGCCTTGTAAGTGTTCCCTCTAGAAAACCTTTATGGTCATATCCAGAAAATAAGGGAGAAATAAGCTACCATATTGTCCATGTTGTGTAATCGTCTTCTGAGAGGAAACCATCATCAAGCCTTTGGAAGAGGCAACAGAGTTAAAACCAGGTGGTAGAAAACGGCCTTGACGATTTCTTTCTGACAGTGATTTGACTTGTTCTACAGGACGGTGAAATGGATTGAATGCCCCCTCTTATATGTCAGGCATCGTTATAGGTGCCGGATACAGCAATGGGCAAATGGAAGTCCCTACTCTCTCGTGGAGCTTATAGTCTGGTCATTGACACAAGCAAAACACAGAAACAGGTGACTATTTTTACTTGAATATATGTGTCAGAGAGTTCTCAGGGCTATGAAAAAAATATGGTGTATGAGTGGATAGAGATCAACAGAGAAGTGGCATCTTAAATAGTGGAAAGGGAGGCTTCTTGGATAAAGCCACATTGAACTGAGACTTGAAGGAAGTGATGAGTGAACCAGGCATATATCTGGGAGGAAAATATTCCAAGCAAAGAGAATAGCAAGTGCAAAGGACCTTTAGCCATTCTGTGTGTATCAATGACCCAGTAATACATTGAGTTGGGCCCTCATTTTCACTTAGGTGGTAAGATCTAGTGGTGGTACTGTGGGACTAGCCAGAGATTGGTAGAGAATGCACCAAGGCAGGTAGTATGTGGAAAGCTAGATGGAATCAAAAAGCAAAAAAAGAAAGGAAAAATTTTTGTGTTTATATGAGTATGTAAATGTGTGCATGCTTGCTTCCAAACATCGTGTAAACTGCAAAACTGCTATTGCTTCCACTCACCTAATTGCCAGGAGCTCTCTGTGCTGTCCCAGATGTCAGATGCCAACGCGTTCTCTGGGCTCTGACCACTTCAAAGCCTCCTCTTTGTCACTGGCTGCAGCCTCCTCATAGACGCTTGCTTGTCCTCCACATTTTTTTTTTCTTTCAGTTGATTGAACTTTGGTGCAAAGAGTCTCTCACTCTACACGAACTAGCTTTGCTGCTCCAAGCCTACCTTCATATCTAAGCAGTTCAGAATACGAAGATTTGATGATTATAAAGGACTCAAAGATTATGATTGGGAAAGTTTGGGATATTGAAACGTCCTCCCTCTCTCTGAAAGAGCTCAATGTGTGTTGCTAAAGAATGAGGGAAACCTGTTCCTACTTGTGAAAAAAGTCAAAGTACAAAGCCACAATGCTGAGAAACACAGCCCTTGGTGGTGTTGTCCAGGACGAAGCTAACGCTTTCTACCAATTAGAATCTCAGTAAATATTGGTTGAGCTAAACTGGAAACACCTCCTTTAGAAAACTTGTGACAGATCTACTGCTCTTTGTGTTGAAATCATCCTTGCAAATAACATTTTTAACAATACCCCCAGTAAACAACAGTTTCTTTAGGGAAGATTTTGTAAATGAGATTCTCTTTAATAATATAATGTCTTCATTCTTCTGATAGCTCAGTGCACATATAATCTTAATCATTTACTGCCTTAGGAAAGCTCTGCTGCAATGACTCATGTGTTAGAGTTGAATGGAAATGGAAAGATCCCTACGCTTATTTTACATTCCGGAATATGAGGCCCAGAGAAATTATACACGGTTAGGAACAAAGTTCCTGATTCTCAGGTTGGGATTTTTTTCATTACAACATTCTGCCCTTCATGGTTTCCCATTCTTGCTTCATATTGCAGAAGCATTTTCCTTTTTCTCAAGCAGCAAATATAGAGACAAAATACACTGCCAGAAAATCTAGAATTCTAGGGGCAACAGGTAAGTTCTTACGAGACCTGTAGGTCATAATTTAGCCCAAGACTAAGGCTGGATGGAGGAAGATGCAAATTTGTTTGCGGTGTTCCAAACAAATAATTTTTTCAGACAAACGAAAGATGACTGCTTTTCTTTCTCACTAAACTTACTAGTCAGGTTGTTTTTTGACCGAACTCGTTTTGTCATCAGATAGAATTCTAGCAGCTTTTCTGGCTTAGGAACTATCTAATTGGAGCTCTCCAATGGTTGGTCCATAGTCCTGTGGAATCATAGAATGACAGCAGCCCAGATTTTAAATGCTGTAACCAACTTCTTTCTACTAGTCACAGAATGCTTCTAGGTAGAGCTCATTATTCTCTTACATGCCCCAGCTAATGAGATAACAAAGCTGCTATTCATGCAGGCAATTGTCCATCTACAGACAAAAGGACACATCTTAGGTAATCAGTCTGCTCAAAAAACGAAGCAAAAAGTTTTGACTCATTACTTTGAGGGGAGTCTTATAATGGGTAATTTGTAATATATATGACTCATAAAGAACAAATATACATTAAGAACAAGAGCGAGAAATTTCCCAGTCCTTACGTGGGTCTTGGTCACAAATACATATAAAGTATACTCACTATTTTATATGTAAAGTTCAAAGGATCTTTATCTAAATCTCCACCTCTCCTTCTCTGTCATTCTCTTTTAAAACAGAAAGAAGTTTTGATACCTCAAATGGAAAGAGACTTTTGGCAACTGGGGGTAGTGGAGCAGTGTGGCGGTAGTTCCAGAGTGAATAATGCTTTGATTTCATTTTCTTTCTGATCAAGTATACAATGTTAATATCTTTGTGAAGCACAGTTATTACTCCACCCAAAATCCACTGTAATAAAAGCCTGCAAAGGTATTTGGATAATAGT